TCAGAGCTGGAGGGGCTCAGGGGCTCCTTGCCCACAGAGAGGGAGAGCCACTCTCTAAGGCTGGGCAGTGGGAGAAGGGCAGCTCTCCATGCTGCTTCAAGCCACCCACTCTCTCCAGATATCCTGATTGTGAGGCTTTTAAAAAGCTGTGTGATGCTTTTCAGTGCTTCAGTGAGGTCTGTGGTAAAGCTAGTAAGTAATTGCTAAGCCCCCTAGGATTTACAGCTCTGCAGGACCCCTACTTACCAGAAAGCTTCTCCCAGTGTCTTGAGAGATGAGTCCTACGAGCTTTCCAACTTCGGGAAGAGCTGGTGCTTGCAGTGGTCAGGCAGGCCAGAGGTTGGCAGAGGGACAGCAGGACTCCAATTCACAGAGTCCCCTTACATGCCTCCTTCTTGAGCTTTCTGCCACATGATGCTTCATGACTAATTCCTTCTTTAGTTTCATTGATCAGAAGGCAGATGCAGTTGGAAATTTTCTAATCAGGGTTATCTCAAAATTTACTTTTTGCTGCTTCTTTGCCTTCATCTCATCAGTGATGGACACATTTCCCACTTGCCGTCTGTTGAACCCAGCAGTTGTTTCCACCTCATAACCAAATGAATAGTTATAGATAGAATGATAATAATACCAAGCACTGACATCATGAAGACACAACCCTATTACTCTTTCAACGTGGGCTGGATATGGAAACTTGTCCTGGTCTTTCATGAGTCCAAACAGTAATGACTCCATGTCCAGTCACCTCAGATTTAGATAACGGCACCCGTTGGGTTTATGGAGGAGCTCTGGTGGTGTAGCAGTTAAGGCATTTGACTGCTGACCAAAAGATTGGTGGTTCAAACCCACCAGCTGCTCTATGGAAGAAAGAGGAGGCTGTGTGCTTCCAGAAAGCACTCAGCCTTGGAAACCCAATAGGATTCCAATGAGTTGGAATTGACGTGATGGCAGTGAGTTGGGTTTGTAGGGTTTCCTTCCCTGAGAACAGAGATGAGAAAGTGTATTCAGCAATGGATTTTCTGTCTCTTCCCTTGACTTTACCAGATGGGCAAACACGATGAAGCCTGGATGATTCTCAAGCAAGTCCATGACACCAACATGAGGGCTAAGGGGACCCCAGAGAAGGTATTCACGGTGAGTGTGGTTGCTTATGACAAGAAGAAGAAGAAGAAGAAGTGTTTCCCTCTTAATGTTTTTGGTTTTTTTTTCAAAAATTATATAAGCCTATAACAGAGAATCTGTTGAAAGGAGAATAAAACTTTGACATTCCTATCACTGTAATATTACTGTTCTTTGCACTTTCAGGCTTTTCTTCTAGGGTTTTCTTAGGTAGTTAGTTAAAAATGATGGTAGCAAAAAACTAGCTATATTCATATTCATATGCATATATAATTTAATAGTACTCATAAGCATTTTATATTTTGCCACACAGTAATCATAACCATCACTTTAATGAATATGTAATCATCAGGAACATTAACACAGTTTTCCTAAATGTGTCCCT